GGGGCCTGGCGCGCGGGGCGGGGCCTGGCGCGCGGGGCGGGGCTGGGCAGACACCTGCCTTCCAGAACCCCTGGAGACCCCTGGTGGGCGAGAGCGGGTGCTCGCAGGAAGTGCTCTGAGGTACCTCTCCCCAAGTTATTGATAAAACGTCTTCGTCCTCCACTGTGGAATTCCACAGGCCCTACAGGTAGTTATGCTCCTATGCCTGTGTAACATAGATTCCCCCCCACCCCCCAGAAGTCCAGAAGAGAGCAGAGATCTTCTCTTTCTTCAGACCTTCTTGACTGCAGTTGTGAGTCATTTTTCCGATGAATCTAGTTAGAGGATTATTAAACTTTTAAATCTTTTCAAAAAAGGTTTGGGTTCACTGCTCTCCTGTTTCCTAGTACATTGTTTTTCAGTCTTTATGACTCACTTGGGGTTTGATTTCCTCTTCTTTTCCAGTTGCTCAAAAGATGATGTCGTTGACACTAGACCGTACTACTTTTTAAATGGAAGCTTTTCAAGCTATGAGTTGTCCTTTAAGCACTGCTTTAGCTGCATTCTGCATTTTCTGATACGTTGTGCTTGCTTTTTCTGTTGAAAATAGTTTTGAATCTTCCTTATGACTTCTTCTTTGACCTACTTCTTTAAAGTATATTGTCTTAAGTCCCAAATTTTTAGGGAGTTTCTAGATATTATTATTTCTAGTGTAATTCTGTTGTGATAAAAAATGTGCATTTAAGATTTTAATGTTTTAAAATGTATCGAGATTTATGTCATAGCCCAATATATTATCTACCTTGGTGTATATATATGCACTTTTAAAAAGAATACCTATTGGGGGCCAGCAGGTGGTATAGTGGTTAAGGTGCTGGACGTCTATATAGCTGACCACGGTTCAAGTCCCAGATCTTGAAACTCACTCCAGGCATGTGCGTATGCATGCCCGAAATCCCCAGGGGAGGCTAGAAGAGAAGGGATTGCAGTGTGGCCATCCCCTCATCCCCACCTCGGGATGATTTCTCACTTTCCCCCCCTCTGTCTCTCTGTGCCTCTCTCTGGTAAGTGCACATGCCCTATGGCAAAAACCTTTAAAAAAAAAAAAAGCATATTCTGCAGATGAGTGAAATCTGTAACTCTTAGTTGGTTCTACGAATGTCAATTCAGTTAAAAAATCATAGTGTTCAGGTCACCCATCATGTATTATTTTGGTCTACTTTTTCTGTTAATTTCTGAGATGAAAGTATTACACAATCTCTAACTATAATCATAGATTCATGGTATCTTCTACTTTGGTGAGTTTTTGCTCCGTATATTTTGAACTTATTAGGTACATACGCAGGATTTGTGTGTTTTAAGTATTTATGTTTCCCAATTATTTGATATTTTAAAATTATTATGAACTGTCTCACCTTCTCTCTTTTAATTCTTCTGGTTTGAAGTCTATTACAGTTGCTACTGATATAATATAACCACTCCGCCTTTTCTTAGGCTTGATATTTGCCTTTTAAATCTTTTCCCATGATTTTCTTTTCGATATTTTTCTAGTTTCACTATAGCTCGCATGCACTTGCCAAAGAGAAAGAGAGATAGGAAGTAAGAAATCCCCCTCTGCTTCCCCCAGAGGGGATGGCCATGCCACAATCCCTTGGGAGTTTGGGCACGCAGGCATATGTGCCTGGTGTGTTTTCCATGCCACTGGCTCTAGGATTCAAACTGCTGTGAGCCATGTGGAACCCAGTTGCCTCAGCCACGAAACTATTGACTAACCCTCAATCTATTTTGCCTTTATGTTTAAAGTGTATGTATTTCTCACAGATGCCGCACAGTATCTGTGAGAAAAATATCAGTCTGTTAATCCTGCTTCCTTTAGGGTTAACCCAATATTCCTGAGCATTTTATCTTAATTCCACTATTGGTTTTCCGCTTTACCTCTTTACATTAATTTTCAGTGGTTACTCCAGGGCTTACAATATGTATCCCTAAATGATCTCAGTGTACTTTGAGCTTACTATAATGTTCCTACCTAAAGTGTGATAACTTTGCAGCAGTGCGGTTCTTTTTTTATCCCATGCTTTTTGTTATCGTTGTCTTTTATATTTACCCACACATTTACTATTTCTAGTGTTCTTCATTCCTTCCTGTAGATATAAATCATTATCTCGTATCATTTCCGCTCCCTTTGAAGAACCTTTCCTTCCCCATTTTTCTTTTCTTTCTTTCTTTTTTTTTCTTTTCTTTTCTTTTTTTTTTTTTTTTAAGAGAGACTTTTGCTATAGGGCACGTGTGCTTGCCAGAGAGACAGAAAGTGAGAAATCATCCACCCCCGGGGGGAGGGGAGAATGGCCATGCCGCAGTCCCTTCTCCTCCATTCTCCTCTTGGGATTTTGGCCATGCATAGACATGTGCCTGGCGTGAGTTTTAAGCTGCCAGATCTGGGACACGAACCGTGGTCAACTACGTGGAAGTCTAGCTACATACCCATTATGCTATCTGCTGGTCCTGCTTCCTCATTTCTTATAATGTGGATCTGCTAGTAATAAATTCTAAGCTGTTTTTAATCTGAAATGATCTTTATTTCACTATCATTTTCGAAGATTATTTTCTCAGATACAGAATTCTGGGTTGATTTTCTCCCTTTCCTTCCTCCAAATTCAACTCTAAAATGTCATTCCATTTTTCTATAACTTTCATTATTTCTGAATCATTACCTTCTACCTGTCCACAAATTTGTACTGTGTCATTTTCTCTAGACGCTTTTAGATTTTCTCCTTGTCCTTGGTATTCAATATTTTGACCATGATGTTCTTGGTATGGTTATTTCTATCTACTTGAGTTTTGCTTAACTTCTTTAATTTGTAGATTTATGGTTCCACCAAATGTAAGCTAATCTCAGTCATTAATTGTCCAATTTTTTTTTTTTGTCTCATTCACTTTTTCCTTTTCTGGAATTACTATTACATGTATGTTAAACTCTTTGATATTATCCCAAAGGGCAGTAGGGCTCTGTTCATTTTTTTCCAATAGTTTTTGTCTAAGTTCTTCAGATTGGATGATTGTTTTTTGTCTGTTTTTACATTCACTTACCCTTCAGCCATTTCAAATCAACTTTAAGACCACCTAGTGAATCTATTTTCAAACCTTATACTTTTCAGTCGAGAAGTAAATGAGTGTCTATTTCTCCACTGAAATTTTCCATGTGTCAATTCATTATGACCATTTTTTTAAGTTCTTGAATGTATGTATAATAACTGTTTAAATATATTTGCTAATTCTTAGATCTGAGTCAACTTGGAGTCAGTGTTTTGTCTTGTTTTTATGCAAGAGGGCATGCGTTCACACCAGAGAGAGATAATGATGGGGGAGAGAGAGAGAGAGAGAGAGAGAGAGAGAAAGTACCCCACCCCCATGGATCCTGGTCACGCCACAGTTCTTTTTCCTCCATTTCCCCATTCTGTCAGGCTCCTGGGCATGCACACACATGTGCCTGGTGTGCTTCTCTAGCCAATGGGGCTGGGATTCGAATCACAGTTGGCCATGGGGTTTCTGCTAGCTCTAGACAGTGCTTAACTGCTATGCTACATAGCAGACCCTGTAGTCTGTTTTTATTGAAAACTCTTTTGCTTGACTATGGACTAAACTTTCCTATTCTTTCATATGTTGCTTTTTGAAATTATGTACTGGATATTGTGAATGATATATGGTAGAACATCTAGATTCTGTTATCTTCCTCTGATGAATATTGATTCGTTCTAGCAGGTAGTTAGCTAGTCAAACTCCACCTTAAATTTCTGATCATTTCTTTTGACAATCCGATTATTTTTTGATGAGCACCTTGAAATCTCCCATCCAACTATTTTTGGATGGGATCCTTGAAGTCTCCCACATGTATACACAGTTTAGAAGTTAACCAAGAATTTGCACAGTGCATTTGTGTAAATTTGGGATCTCTACCCCTTTCTGACATCTTTTTTCTCAAAATTTCTCTCTCAATTTCCAGGTGCTCTGACAGCCCCAGACTCCATCATCCAAGTCCTCAAGCCACTAAGAGTGTGGCTTCCTGATTGAAGTCCAGCCTCTCGCACGTCGCATACTAGGAAGTTCCCCCAGGTGAAAATATTTATGAACATAAATAACACTCATTACGTTGTCATTCTTTGAAGAATGGTCATCCCTTTAATTTCTGCTTTTTTGCTTTCCGTGGCGTTCCAGTGTCTTAAAATAGACGTTTTTATATTTTGTCCAAAGTTTGTCATTTTTACCCTTGAAAAATGTAGATTACTATAACCTACTATGACATGTTTTATTGGAAATGCATCTTTTAATGACCTAACAGTATTAAATTTTTGTCTGTGGCTATGTGTTAGTAAAGGAATGTTATGTATTAGTAGATGAGATACAATTCAGCATCACTTGGATTTATAGTTTTAGTTTTTAAGGATGTAAACACCAAGAAATTCTGTTCATATGGGAAACATTTTGTAACAGCAACATTACCCAAATCGTTGATTTTCTTCCAAGAGAGATTATAAAAATCACACAGTACTGTATCATCAAAAATTATTTTTTATGATCTGTCATCAGACACTTAGGTACTTCTTTGTTTGAGTTGCTTACTTTCTCAATTTCTGGGAAGAGTATCAAAAAAGCTTTTAAAGACATTATTGGATTATTAATAATTATACTATAACTCTTTAATCTTAAGGTATTTTATTTTTAACTCCAAGTTCAGAAAATTAAAATATTATTTTTATAGACTTTTTGCAATACAATATTTTTGTTAAGATGCTTTCATCACGAGTTAAGTGTATTTTTATTAAAACTTTGCGATTACAGCTTTGGCTCATTCGATGTATGCAGGACATCTAATGTAAAAGCTAACTGGTAAAGGAGCTGGACAGTGGCATAATGGTAAAACCCAATGCTTTGAGACGAAATCTCACCTAGGAAGTTCCCAGTTCAAGTCTGGAGACTTGACCCATATGCTAGGTCTGTGCATACTCATGATTCAGGGCTGGCTGCAGGTGAGAAGGGGATCATAGAGTTGGAACTGTATTTGGTGTATTTTTTCTTTCTTGTTGTCTCTTTCATAAATAAATAGATTCATTTTTTTAAAAAGTTAATTGAGGGGCCGGCAGGTGGCATGGTGGTTGAGACGCTGGATTCCCACAAGGTCGACCATGGTTTGAGTTCCGGATGTGGTGGCTTGTTTTCTCACTTTTCCTCTCTCTGTCTCTCTGGTCAAGATGGAAGAATAACAACAATAAATAAAATTAAAAAATAAATAATTCTGTATTTCAAATCCCACCTGTGGTGAGGGCCTCTGGCTAGTTCACACCTAGGAGCAAAGAACCATTGAAAGACCTACTTGTGTATTTCCATTTAATTCTGTCACTAACCACCTGGTCAGTGCAGACACCACAAGTTAAGAGTTCAGTCTTCCACATTCTGCCCTGCTTTGGGGAGACCCAGGCCATCTGTCCTTATTACTGACTGGCTACAAATGCAGGAGGTCCTATGACCTCTGAAGTTTGGTCATTTGTTAGAATGGCGCACAGAACTCAGCAGAGGTCTCAGGTTCTTCCTCATGAAGGTTTCAATGAAATGGGACATAAAGACCAATAAACAAGCAGTTACAATGCAGTATGCTACATGCTACGTGGAGGAAGTACACAACACTGTAACAGCGTGCAAGAGGAGCCAGGCTTTGGGAAGATCAAGAAAAGTGGTTAAGAAAGACAATACAAGGGTAGGGAGAGATTTGGTTGGAGTCAAACTCCACTAGATATATCTGATGATTTCTTTCAGCAATCCAGCTGCTGCTTTTTACTGGCCAAATAGATGGTCAGGAAAGGCCACGTGGGGAAGAGGACACATAAGAGGAGAATTTACAGGAGGCCAGCAGTTGGCGTAATGGCTATGTCACTCGCATGTAGTTGACCGCAGTTTGAGTCCTGGACTCAGTGCCTTATACTCAGCTGGGTGCGTGTGCATGCGTGCCCAACATCCCAAGAGGAGAATGGAGGAGAAGGGATTGCGGCGTGACCATTCCCCCTGGGGGGTGATTTCTTGCTTTATGTCTCTCTGTCTCTCTCTGTCTGTCTGGTGAGCACATGTGCCCTATAGTAAAAACTTCTCAAGGGAAAAAAAAAAGAGGAGACTTCAAAGATGAGAAAGAGTCATAGTGCAAAGAACAGGGGAAGAGCAATCCTGGCAAAAGGGACAGCTTGAACAAAGATCCCGAGGAATGCTTGTACCTTAGGAGCTGAAGGTCTCTGGGGAACAGGAGATGGAGAAGGAGAGATGGTAAGATGGGAGGAGGATGGTGACTCAGGGCCCACTGTGTTGTCTTCAATACAAATGTCATGGAAAGATTTTCAGCCTTTTGGCTAAAGATTCAGACCACTCCTCTGCATCTGGGCTAGAACTCATAGGGTATGAATGACTCAGAACGAGATTAGGGATTTAGAGAATTTACAGGGCTGGGCTGTGTGGGTCAGAGTAGGGAAACATAGAGTAGAGTTTGGACTTGATATAATCATCTCTTGGTATGCATGGAGGATTGCTCCATGAACCCCTATAGATCCCCAATCTGTAGATGTATAAGTCCCTTATATAAAATGATTTAGTAGCCAGTTGTGGTAGCACAGTGGTAATGCAATGCTTCACAAAACTGAAGCCACATAAAAAGGCCTGGGTTCTCATCCCAAGGTCTCCCTGTACACAACAGAGGTGCATTGGTCTTGGCTGGCTGGGTCTGGGGTGGGTCATGGTATGAGGACCATATTGGGGGTGACTGTCTTCTTTTTCTCTTTCATTGAGGAAATAAATAAACTTGAGAGAATGGTTTAGTATTTACATATAGCTTTACCACATTCTCCCTTATACTTAAAAAAAAAGACTGTATTCCTTATAGTACCAAACACAATGTAAATGTTGTGTAATAGTTTCTATACTGTACTATTTAAAGATGTATTATTTCTGATTGTTGTAGTGTTAACTTTTGATTACGTGTATGTTTTTAATATTTTTGAGCCGTGGTTGGTTGAATCTGCAGAGGCAGAATGTCAATATGGACTGACAACTGTAATTAGAAATTCAGCAAATCCATGCCCCTCCAAATGATAAGAATCTTTATTTAAAGGGACATTTAAAAACTATGTCATTCTTCTAATAAAGGAACTCAAAGCATAACTGTATAATACCGTTGAGGATTAATTTGAACTTCATCTTAGATGCATATATACGCACCAAATGTTTTTGGAAAAACACAGGAACGTAATAACGGTGGTTGTGTAGGG